CCTTTATCATATTTAACAATTCTTAATATCTATGCATCCAATGCAGGAGCACCCAGTTACATAAAGCAAACCTTGTCTGATCTAAATAGCATGATAAACAATAATGCCATTGATTCTTTCTTTAAAGAAAACTGTTCCTTTCGATTTCATCCTCAGCTTTCTCTCTCCTCATTCTACATATTCTCCTGAAGTGGACTCATCCCTGCCCGTGGATACAACCTATATGCTGATAAATCCCGAATCCATCATTCTGAAAGATTTCTCTTCTGTGTCCAGACTCATATATCCAACTGCCTCCAGGACATGTCTACACTCACTATGTCAGAACATAAACCCACCATTATTATCCAAAGCTCCTCCTTCTACATTGTTCCCTATGTTCCTCTCACCATCAGCCAGTGACCCAAGTTAGAAACCTGAGCCATCCCCAACTCCTCCATGTTCCCCTCATAGTCCAAACTCCCATAATGTGACTTGCAAAGTCCTTTATAGTCTGGTACATTTGAATCTTTCCAGCATCATCCTCTTCCACTTTCCGTCTTGAATTTGAGCTCCAGCCACACTGAATAACTTGCAGTTCCTCAATACACCATGTTCTCTCTCACTTTCAAAGTCTTTGGTCAAGTTGCTTCTTTCGTAAAAAATTCCTTAATCCCTTCCTCATCAGAGTGATTCCTATAAACCCTTAAGGCTTAGCCTGCAGTTACCTCCTCTGGGAGGTTGTCCCTCATATTTGGGTTAGGCGATCCTCCTGGGTGCACTGCTAGCCACTTAGGCATACCTCCGGCAGACATGGGCGACATACTGCCGTGACCTCTAAGCCTTTGTCCCTGTACTTGTCTCTCCCTCTAGTCTGTGAGGTACTAAGGGGAGGCATCCAGAGAGTCTGGAATAGTTTGGCACATAATATAGTATGTTTGTTGAAGGAATAATAAAGGGAGCTCCTGGTAACATCAATAAGGAATTACAGAAGTAGAATCAGTGATGTCGGCAAGAAGTGAGAATAAGATTTGGGAGCAAGGATTGTCACTCAACTTTCTGACAAATTAGAAAAGTGGCTGGAGTCACAGTTTACTCCATATCCATACATCGTTCTCACAGCTGAGTGGCTGCAAAGACACATACGGTTTTAATCTTTTTTCTGCCTTACTGGACCTTTTCATCTTATTTTTTTTTTTAGTTTTTAATTTTCAATTATTATGGGTACATAATAGTTGTATATATTCATAGGGTACATGTGGTATTTTGATACAGGCATACAATGTGAATTAATCCAATCAGGGTATCCATCACCTCTGGCATTTATCATTTCTTTGTGTTAGGAACATTCCAATTCCACTCTTTTAGTTATTTTAAAGTATATTCTAACTTACTGTTGCTTATAGTCACTTTGTCGTGCTATCAAATATTGTTCCTTCTATCTAACCATATTTGGTACCCACTAGCCATCATCACTTTATCCCCGCCCCCCACTAACCTTCCCAGTCTCTAGTAACCACCTACTCTCCATCTCCATGAGATCAATTGTTTTTAATATCCAGCTCCCACATATGAATAAGAACACGTGAGACTTGTCTTTCTGTGCTTGGCTTATTTCACTTAACATAATGTTCTCCAGTTCCATCCATGTTGTTGCAAATGGAAGGATTTCATTCTTTTTTGTGACTATATATTAATAATATTCCATTGTGTATATGTACCACAAATTTCTTTATCTGTTCATCCACTGGTAGACTCTTAGGTTGATTCCAAATCTTGGCTATTGTGAATAGTGCTGCAATAAACACAGGAGTGCAGATATCTTTTTGACATACTGAATTCCCTTCTTTTGGATATATACATAGCAGTGGGATTGTTTGGTTATATGGTAGCTCTATTTTCAGCTTTTTGAGGAACCTCCATACTGTTGTCCATAGTGGTCACACTAATTTACATTCCCACCAACAGTGTACAAGGGTTCCCCTTTCTCTGCACCCTTGCCAGCATTCATTATTGCCTGTCTTTTTTATAAAAGCCATTTTAACTGGGCGAGATGATATCTCCTTGTAGTTTTGATTTGCATTTCTTTGATGACTATTGATGTTGAGCATTTACCTGTTGGTCATTTGTATATCTTTCTTTGAGAAATGTCTATTCAGATTCTTTGCCCATTTTTTAATTGAATTATTTGATTTTATCATATTGAGTTGTTGGAGCTCCTTGTATGTTCTAGTTATTAATCCCTTGTCAGATGGGTAGTTTGCAAATATTTTCTCCCATTCTGTGGGTTGTCTGATCACTTTGTTGATTGTTTCCTTTGCTGAGACACATAGTTTTAATAGCCCATGTACAACTTTTATTAACCCATGTTTGAAGGCAGATATAACTAGAGTTTGTCAAATTGTTAATCCAGAAGTACTCTGAATACTGAGCACACAGACAAAGCATTAATAGGGCCACTTTCTCCTCAATTTGATACATGAAATGCTGCAAAAGAAATGTCTGTGTTTAAATACTGAAGCATTATCATGTGGAAAAGAGATTGGGCTTTTCTGTCTGATACTTCCTCTACCACCCCACTTCTCGCCCAGCAAGGGTAGAACTAGGACCAGAGGATGGAAGTTATAAAGAGATAAAATTCAGCTTGATATTGTAAGGAATTCTCTCATGGCAGAGCTGTCCAAAAATTGAATGGGCTGCTTTGTCAGATAGTGAGCTGTTCAAAAGCTGAATGAACAGTTTGTAGGGCTACTGCAGAGGGAATTCACACACATATGATGGCTGGAGGACATATTGCCCCAGTTGACCTCTATCATCTCTACTACCTTAAAATTATATTTTCTACCAAAGTAACTGTTTCTATTTTTTAATTTAGAGAGCAAGCTAGAAGTGAATTCAAGCAGTCAAGTCCAAGAGATATCCATCAACTCGAACACTGATATAGAATGTAGCATCGTGTCCCGGTCCACTGGAAACCTTCCGTTAGCCATTATTTGGTACTTTTCTCCCATTTCCACTAGTGCATCCTGGCTGAGGATCCTGGAAATGGACCAAACCAATGTTGTAAAATATGGGGATGAATTTCACACTCCAAGGAGGAAACAAAAATTTCACACCGAGAAAGTTTCCCAAGACTTGTTTCAGCTGCACATTCTGAATGTAGAAGGCAGTGATCAGGGCAAATATCACTGTGCTGTGGAGGAATGGCTCTTGTCTACAAATGGCACTTGGCTCAAGCTTGGAGGAAAGAAGTCAGGACTAACAGAATTGAAACTCAAGCCCACAGGTAAACCTCGTGAGTGCATTCTCACACATCTTTCTGTAGGATTGCCATTTTCTCTTGGGTAGCTGTTCTGTGTAGTGATCATAAGGAAGTAAAAATATGACCTAGTCATAGGAATAGAGTCTGCCTACAAATGACTGCAGGACCTGGTAGCCCTCCAAAGGAGGGAGGTCACTTAAGGTGAATCAATCTGAGGTTTTGAGGAGCTCAGATAGGAACAAGATCCCTTTGATTGGTTTGCTTATCAGCCTGCAGCCTGGTCTAGGCAGCTACCCAGGGTATCGTATCTCCAGATCTCTATAATAACAAGCTGTGTCATTCCAGTGGGGCTCTACTGTAATTTGGCAGAGAAAGAGTAATACGAAGCATATTTCTCCCACTGTGAACAGAAACTGTACAACTCTTTGGGGATGTGTGGAGAAATTGCTTTTCAACATTTAGCTGCCTAAACATAAGGCAAATAAGAGTAGTTAACTGTTGAAATGGCTTACTGAGGAAATCTCCTCTTCCTCAGGAGATCTTTAAAAATGTAATGGAACTTCCATCCATTTGCACTAGTCTAAGAACGCTGCTGCCTAAATGTGGACAGGGTTGATTAGGTCTCTCAGCATCGGTTAGGTCACCTCCAATGTTGATTAAAATTAACTGAATGTCACAGCCTAAGGCTCGGGAACTGGCTGCACAATGCAGATAAGTTGAACTAATTTGGTGTTTCAAATAGTATGTTTAAGGTAACATTGAAAAATAAGAATATAATTGAACATTACTATGTATTAGGCAATGAGAAGCAGAGATAAAGAAGGCACACCTCTTGCCCTCAGGGAACACACCATCTGTTGGGACAGCAGGGGCAAAATGGTAGCTTAGTATGGGGTCTCTTCCTGCCCCCCAGGCTCCCCTGTCTGTGTTCTTCAGGCTCCTCTTCTTTCCCTAATAAGTGTATGTGTTCCTCAGGGGTAGAGCCTGGGCCCATTTTTTTCCTTATTCTCTGCTCTCCTCAGAACTTCTTAAACATTGCCCTGGTTTCAACTACCACCTTCAAGATGATAATTCTAAGTCTTTACGCTTAGCCCAATCTCCTGAGCTCCAAGCCTTCAAACTCAGCTGCCTGCTGTACATTTCCACTTGGATGCCCCCAGAGACCCTCATGCTCAGCACGCCCCACATGGCATGTATCATCTCTCCCCACAAGACTGGCTCTCACTTCAGCATTCCCTATCGTGTGACTGCTATCCCTGTCTCCCAGCCATCCCAGCCAAAATCGTGACACGATGTGCGTGGCCCTTTTAAGGAGGCAGACACTGCTTAGCTCAAGCCAGGGCTTCCCGTGTAGAAATGTGGGCCCAGTGTTGCAACATCGTTTAGTATATTAAGAGATGCCTAGAATCTTTTTTGGTGGACATCTTCCAATTTGAGAACATTTGCAACTAATTCAAATTCTTTTAACATACTGAAGGAGTCGAACAAAACATAACCGTGGGCTAGGCATGACTGGGTTTCAAGGTATGTACCTTCGTTTAGGGACTGAGTTAAGAAAGAGACCCCAGAAAAACATACCGAGTAGGGCTGGTCTGAATCGTAGGAGGGATATTTTATCTGAAGTCGAAACAGGAGAGAATTTTAAGAAGAAAATGGACTCCAGTAACAAAAACTATAAAGAGGACAAAAAAAGGCTGGAAGGTTCCTTGAGCCGGGAAATTGGACCCTGACCAAGAATAGTGATAACGCTGGAAGCCAGATTGCAATAAAGAAGGAAGTAATTTGAGGTGAGGAAACAATGACAGTGTCATATAAGCTAATATTTCACATGCTTCTCCATGAAAGAAAGGAAAAATTAAAGATGGTAACTAAAAGAGAGACCAAGGTCAGATAAAATTATTTTTTAAAGATAGATTAATAAACGTATTTGTAGTGGAGTTGAAAATTTAATGCACATTATAGTTTGTTTATTTTGTTTGTAACTACTCTGGCTGTCATTTCAAGTCCTCACCTGCTGGTTAGCAGGGGGAAAAGAAAGTAAATGTAGAAATCTGTTTAAAACTTAGCCTAATCCAATAATTTGAATGCTCCCCTTGGGTGATATTTTAACACTTGCATCTAAATGTTCAGTCTCTCAGTCAGCCTGCTGTCTCTCTGCATCTATACGGAAGATACCCAAGATAATAGCTGGGTGTATGGAAGAAGAGTAATTAGCTACGAAAGAAGGGTAGTGGTAGAATACATGATTTGAGGGGGTGCTGAAAGTTCTGAACAGCCCCTCTGGGAAGCAAAACAGGAGTTAGCAGAGGACTAAAAGCAGTGGGGAGAGGGCCCCACCGAAGCTGGGTGGTTTGCAGCGGCAGGGTCAGCAGGCAAGATATAGGGGTTATAGAAGGCAAGTGGCTGGCTTGATTCATAGCAGAGAATGTTCTGGCAAACGTGAAAGAAAAACAGGGATTACAAAAACAGGGCAAATATTAAAGATGAATGATCTGATGTCTAAAGAATATAAGATGGAGATCTCCCCAGGGATAACCAAATTTTTCAGAGGAAGTGTCCAGTCGGAAAGTCTGTATTCTTCTCTAACTTACTGCCATTTTATTTTCTAGGAAGTAAGGTCCACGTCTCCAAAGTGTACCGGACAGAAAATGTTACTGAGCAAGGAGAGGTGACCATCCACTGCAGCCTGGAGAGTTTGGGCAGCTCAGCCTCCCTGTACTCTGTGATGTGGTACTGGAACAGAGAAAACTCTGGAAATAAATTGCTGGTGCACCTGCGGCATGATGGTTTGCTGGAGTACGGCGAAGAGGGGCTCAGGGGGCACCTGCACTGTTACCGCACATCCCCTGCAGACTTTGTCCTGCAGCTTCGTCACGTGCGGATGGAGGACGCTGGAATGTATTGGTGCACGGTGACAGAGTGGCAGCTCCATGGACACCCAAGCAAGTGGGTCAACCACGCATCAGATGAGTCCCAGCGGATGGTGCTAACAGTGCTGCCTTCAGGTACTTAGGGGTTAATCTACCACAGGCTGGGGGGTCAGGAGAATATGTGGCTCTCCTCTTATGCCTTCCCTCTCAGCTATGTTTTACTCCTTCGTCAGGCTGAAGAAACTTTTCAGGTTCCCTAAAGAAGATGAGTTTGCTGTCTCCCCCAATAGCCATTCATTTGAACAAACAAGGTCTACGTGAAGTTTTGGCACAAACATTTAAATATAAGGGGCATATGTTTCCCCCTTCCCCTCCCCACCCAAAAAAAAGCCATCAACACCATGTCCCTTTAAATAACCAAATAATGTGTGAAGCAGACATCCTTACCTTGTGGCTGGCCCTCTAATCTTGGAATGCTGATCTGCAGTGGGAGGGAATGACAGATAGGGAGATGATGACTTTACATTTTGATCTGGTTGAACCATAATTAGCTACATCTAAATGCCCCTTTGATCAAAAGGAAAAACAGAAAGCCTTTCTCAATGAATAAATGCCAACCTCATTATCTCTCTATGTACTTAACAAACTACCAGCATTTTGGTAATGATGATCATTTGGTGTGCCTCTTCTAATTGTACCCTGAAAGGCATCCAGGGAGAAAGGGTGCCCCATAGAACTTGTAGACTCCAGCAAGGAGGGCAACTACTTAAAGACCATTGCCCAAAGGGTGACCTTTCTCTACAAGAGGGCATTCTACTCTGCTGAGTTCTCATCAAGTACTTGTTAGTGAAAGCAAAAAGTTCTCCAGTTAGACCAGTCGGTCTTCCCTGGTGATCCATAAGCTGGCGGCTGTCATAGCCAGCTCATTCTCTCAGCCGCTTCGTCCTGGTGAGTTTCAAGGAGAAGGTGAGAGGTGAGCGGTAAGCTAAACTTACTGTGGGAAAGGGCCATTGGAGAAGTAGAGGTGTGGTCTTGGAAGGGTAAATGAAAACGATCAATAAAGGTAACATTCCTAAGACGCCGGCTAGCTTTGGCGACGCTCCTTAGCAGGGAAAGAGTGCTGTCAAAGAACATATGGGAACTTCTAAGAAGTAACAATAGCTGCGTCCGAGCCCTAGCAAGACTTCTGCAATGGAAGTCAAAGTGATCTGATTTGTTCCTCGCGGGGGGTCCATCATCATCTCGCCCTGTCCATGCCTCAGCAGAATTTTTTTTCCTGAGTGTCCAGGAAGAATTTTTTTTTTCTATTGGCCTTTCTTCCATTCTAACAATTATAGGAAGTCCCATGCTTGTGAACACATCTCGTACATGTTTTCCCACTGGAATTCATAAGCTCTGTACATTCAGCAGGTTTTGCAGTAGAACGAATAGATAAGAACAGTAAAACGTATATATTCTGTGACTAAAGAGCACATCTCCTCTGAGGCACATGAGATCCTTTATAGCATATATATTGTTAATCTTTGTGGAATTCTAATAAAACAGGTGTAAGGTTTTTAAAAGATGAACTCGGAAAGAAAACATTAAAAATTGAGTGCCTTTGTGTTCTCAGAGAACCTGTGCCATGACAAGCTGAGGGTTTTCTGTGTGACTAAAGTCACACCTGGAAAGTGGCATCTGGGTTCCCCCGCCTGGCTGGTCCTTTCTGGGAACTGGGAAGGCAGTGCAGGGTCATGAAAGATCCCTGGGCTCAAGTCACACTCTACCACGGACTAGCTATGAAGTCATGCCCTGGTTACCCACCTTCCGTGAGCCTCCACTTTCTCATAAAATGAATATCATAATAAAAATGTGTATAAAGTATCTAGTACAGTCCTTGGCACACTGTAAGTGCTCAACAAATGTTAACTCCTTTCCCTTTTATGCTTCCAACCATGCTATGCATACATACACACACACATATATCTGTGTGACAAAATATTTTAATTTGTTCAATAAATGGCTATATGAGGTTCCGAGGATACAAAAATGTGTATGTTCCCACAGAGCTCAGAGTCCAGTGGGGGAAGTCAAGCCCAACGTGACAGGTGTCATCAAAGAAGTATTTGCAGGATGGTATGGGAACAACAGAGGCTGGGCTGGGCTGAAGGGCTGGGTTGGGAGGAGATCTGGGAAGGTTCTCCAGAGTATGGGGCCCATGAAAAGGAGGAAATATATTTTAGGAACAGGAAAGGGTATGCAAGATGATCATAAGATACGAAACTTCGTATTATATTCAGGGAACTTCTAGAAGTTGAGAACGGTAGAAATTGTGTTCCATATGGTACGATGGTAAGAGATGAAACCAGTGAGGTGGGAAAGGTACAGATAGATCTCACATGTGTCTGAAGTATGATGCTGATTCCAGACATGGCAGCTCTGCTAGGTGATATGTTCTCTGGGCAGCCGCCTGAGCCTCTACCACCCCCTGCCCGGACTCTCGGGCCAGGCTTCGCTTCTTCAGGCGACGCCAGGGACTCAGAGACCTTCTAATAGTACTTTGGAGGATGAGTTGGAGTCATCTTTCCAGGCTTGCTTTGCTTCTCTGGTGAGTCAATGGCACTGATCAAGAAGAAATTTGAACTGGTGTTGATCAGTGTATCCAGAAATTTCTAGATATTGCAAGACAGACAGAATTTTTTTTCTACAAAAAAGATTGCAGTTATCTGTCCAGAAACCAGAGCAAGTTATCAAAGAGGATGTCTTAGAGCTAAGGAATGAATTACAGCGGAAGGATGCGCTGGTCCAGACGCACTTGACAAAGCTGAGGCATTGGCCGCAGGAGCTGGAGGACATCAGCGTGCAGCACAAAAAGCCAGCCGACAGCCCTCAGGTCTCCCTGGCCTGCCTGGAACAGGCGTCAGCCACTCTCCCTGCACCTCTGAAGCCGACCTGAGGCAGAGGGCAGCGGCAGCCTGAGAGTGTGCCAATGTGTAAGGCAGCCTCGGACAGACAGTTTGCCACGCACTTCTTGGGGATGTGGTATTTTGGAAGAACTCTTTATTCCCACCTAAAATTTTTCCACTATTTTTATAAGCTGTTAATGTCTTAAATACTTTCTAAAATGCCTGTAGCTTGGTTAAACCAAGTAAATTTTTTTTTCTTTAGTGAAGTTTAGACTGTTGGTGTAATGATACTTACAGATTCTTTTTTTATGTTTTCTTGCTTTTTTTTAAATTTTTGTATGACTTTTCATCTCCTTGCGTGTGTTTCCAGTTAGGTTAGTTTGACCTGAGGGAAAAAACGATAATAGTCTGAGAATGGGGGATGAGGATTTTGCTTGTAGGCCTTTTATGATAATTACCCCACCATGGTAGAGTGTAGAAAAATAGGTAAACCTGCTGTGTTCTACCTCTGAACTACCTCAAGAAGAGGAATCTAATGCAACAATGTTTATAATGCTTCCAGAGCTCTCAGAATGAGGATATTTTGTAAATAAGTAGGAAGAGGATTAAAATATCCTGGATTAGTGTAGTAATATTGCAGTAGAATCCCTAGGCTGATGCTGACTTTTATTTGGGGTGAGTTTATATTTTGTGTAGTGTTTATTTACTTTATTTTTTTATTTCAGCGTATTATGGGGTACAGATGTTTAGGTTATGTATGTTGCCCTTGGCCCCCACCCCCAAGTCCGAGTTTCAAATATGTCCATCCTTCGGGTGGTGCACATTGCAGTCTTTGTGTATGCATATACCCGTCCCCTCCTCCCTCCTCCCCCCTGCCCCCTGCCCAACATCCAGTAGATGTTATTCTCATATGTGCACTTACGTGTTGCTCAGTTAATACCAATTTGATGGTGAGTACATGTGGTTCTTGTCTTTCCATTCTTGGGATACCTCACTTAGTAGAATGGGTTCCAGCTCTATCCAGGAGTATACAAGAGGTGATGGGGAGGGATATAGTAGGAACGGTGACATGCTAAACTTTGTTGTGTTCTGCGGCAACGAATCAGTGTAAGTGATAGGGCGGACTGTGTCTCAGCACCACGACGGTTGGGGCCTAGGTGAAGTACGAGGCGTTAAAGTTTGCTCTGGTTTTCTCTTAGTTTTGAGTTTTTGCTTGTGTCGTCTTTATTTTACATTTTGGGAGGGGAGATATTTTCCATTAAGGATGATCGCTGCTAGTGGATTTGAGTCCAGGGGACTGGGGTCTCGGGGTGGCTTGGCTACTTCCACAAAGAGCGTGTGGTGCCTCCGCGTTTGGGAAGATACTTTGCTCCCTTGCTGGTTTCATAGGCCACCTCAGATTATCTGAATTGCTGTTGACAACTATAGACTGGTGTTGTTTCTGGCTCTTACTGGGTGAGGTTTTCCTGAATTTTATAGTCTGTTATTATATTACATCCCTTTACCCAAAACAAAGGCTTCACTGTCTTCTGAAGAGACAGCACTTCCGTGGCTCAGTGTCTTGGGTCCTTTTATTTTCTCCAGCCTGGAAGGCCCTGCTCACACACAGTGACATCCACTCATGTTCCTGGTCTGGCCTAGATGCCACCTGGTGCCTGATACCTCCCAGTGCCCTTTCTGCTATATCCCCAGGGCATAGGACTTACCTCTCTACCAAGCTCTTGCTTGGTTCTCCCTTGTGGGTCAGTGACTTATATCTCTCTGCCCCTCACTGCATTGTATGCCCATGAGAATTAGGCATTATTGCCCTTAAATATACAGGGAAATATATATTATTTCTCTTTTATACATGCTACTTAGTACTCATTTTTGTTTGTGTGTGTGCGTGGGATCTGGCACTTGGACCTGGATTACCAGCCTGAGGCCAAGGAACTCCTCAATTAGAAGGTATAGGTTAAACAAAGGTGTTTTGTTTTTTTTTTCTTTTTTTGAGACAAGGTCTCACTCCATTGCCTGGCTAGAGTGCAGTGACATCTCATCATAGCTCACTGTAGCCTCAAACTCCTGGGCTGGGCTGAAGTGATCTTCCTGCCTCAGCCTCCCAAGTAGCTGGGACTGCAAGCGCCTGCTACCACGCCTGGCCAAACAGCTTTTAAAAGCTCACATTGTATGACCTCGAGGTTGTTTTCCTGGTCATTTCATGGTAATTATAAACTCTGATTGGTGGCTTTCGATTTCTTGATTAAAAACCTAAATAA